TCAAACATTACAGTAGACATATTTTGGTTTACAAACTGTATTGTTTTATCAGTTAGTCACGTTAGCACTCGGCTAACGCATTCACCATTATTGTTTTAAGTGTTCACAGTTTAGCAGCTTAACTTTAGCTGTGGGCACGATTCGCTTGCATTTAAGTGATTTCGTATTTTATGTCATTATTATAAGAATGGATTGGAGCAATATATTATTGTTTTATGTAAAGGTGCTCGCTAACCTGCTCAAGTCAAGGACTCCTCTCTGTGCCAATCACAACAAGCTTGGCCAGCTGACCAATCAGAGCAGAGTAGGCTTATGGAAGGGATGGGTTTGCTCTGAACTTGCTTGGAACAAATCGTTTCGAAATCATTGGCAAATGTATATTCTGAGAAAATTACAATGTTTTCTGACCTTAGATGCATTTAAACCTGTTGTAGAGGACTCCAACACAATATTAGGACACTTTAAAATACCATATGACCTGCTCTTTAACAAGGGTTACGAGTGTTAATAGAGCACATGCATAAATTCATAAATTCCTCACAACCATACAAAATCAACACCTGCCCCATACACACAATCCTGATAACACCATCAAAGCATGTGGTCTAAATGACATCCACGTTAAAAGTAGCTCAATTTTTAAAAATAGTGTCTCATGACTTCGCTTTTTTTTTTCATTCTGCCGCACTGTGCCATGTGTTTTTCAATGCACTATTGATGAACAAAAGCAGCAAAAAGAAACTTACCACTCGAGCAATCACATAGCATATAATTCCTGAATTGTTTAAACACTGGAAGTGATGTCAAAAGAAATTTAGGACTATAGCAGTCACTCGACTAAACAGATTTCAGTGTGCACTGTTTCTAACTTTATTCTGAGTATGCAAATCGTCTAATCTCAAAACACTTACTTTGATTTAAAAAAAACGGCTGGCTGGAGAGAAAAGAAGCTTAACTAGTAATCTGCATGTCTAACTAACAAGTGAGCACAGAACAGGAAGTCAGTGCTGATGATACAGAGGGGGAAAAAAAAAGAGGTGTTTTAAGTGGCAACACTACTCACAATCCTTCCTACACCACAGAACAAGTCCATTTGTCACATTATTGTACCATGAAGTATAATAACAGCAGTTCTTCCTGTTCTTAGAAATCACACCGTTCACACACACGACCTCTATACTAAAGCAGAGAGAGAGAGAGAGAGAGCGAGAGAGTGTGAATAAGGAGGTTAGAAAGTGAGAAAGCAAGATAGCCAAAGGGAAAAGAAAAGGTAAGGTGCTTTACAACACATCTTCCAAAAGTACAAGAGTGTTGTGCAACTTTTTACCGTAAATCAGCCTTTTTAAAGACAGAGAGCATGAACCTGTATCAATGGCTGATTTGTGTGTTAGTTAGTATCAGGCCTGAAAATCCGGTAATATTAACAGGAAAAACCACAAACCAGCTAACTATATTAACACACCAAAACACACTTGATTACATCCTTTATTGCAATTTCACACAACAGGTAATTCAAAAACCACTGAAATAATTTGGAGTAATGCAAAGTGGGAGAGAGAAAACAAAAGGAAACAGAAAGAGAGAATGAGAGGAAAAATACTCTTTTAGAAGTCATCAGATTTATGCATCACTCACACTCGTGCATGCAGACTTCTCTCTCGCTGTTTTCTCCATGTCTCTCAGTTTCACACACAAAACCACCTCACTAATCAGTAAAACGACCGACACACTCTCTATATCTGCACACCTCATCTCACCACAGAGAAGTTTCTATTTCATGAAACCCAAGTGAAACAGTTACATAAGGGTTCACATGGTTATAGTTTTATCTCTACAACACTAAATAAATGTGTTGCACGTGTATACACAAACACACACAGAGTTACTAGTTCAGAGAGCTATTTTACAGTCAGCAACTGGACCAAAATACAGTACAAGACAGATAACACACTGTTTCACACACACCCCTGCTGTTTTTGTCCTGATTTGTCTCGCACTCCCCCTCTG